TAAGGCATAAAAAGTCATAAAAAAGTCATAGTGTAGTAAGGCATAAAAAGTCATAGTATAGTATGGCATAAAAAAATCATAAAAACAACATAGTATAGTGAGGCATAAAAAATCATAAAAAAGTCATAGTATAGTAAGGCATAAAAAGTCATAAAAAAGTCATAGTGTAGTAAGGCATAAAAAGTCATAGTATAGCAAGGCATAAAAAATCATAAAAAAAGTCATAGTATAATAAGGCATAAAAAGTCATAAAAACAACATAGTATAGTGAGGCATAAAAAGTCATAAAAAAGTCATAGTAAAGTAAGGTATAAAAAGTCCCAATATAGTAAGGCATAAAAAGTCTTATAAAAGTCATAGTATAGTAAGGCATAAAAGGTCATAGTATTGTAAGGCATAAAAAGTCATAGTATAGTAAAGCATAAAAAGTCATAAAAAAACATAGTATAGTAAGGCATAAAAAGTCATAACGAAGTCATAGTATAGTAAGGCATAAAAAGTCATAACGAAGTCATAGTATAGTAAGGCATAAAAAGTCATAAAAACGACATAGTATAGTAAGGCATAAAAAGTCATAGTATATTAAGGCATAAAAAGTCATAAAAACAACATAGTATAGTGAGGCATAAAAAGTCATAACGATGTCATAGTATAGTAAGGCATAAAAAGTCATAATAAAGTCATAGTATAGTAAGGCATAAAAAGTCATAAAAACGACATAGTATAGTTAGGCATAAAAAGTCATAGTATAGTCAGGCAAAAAAAGTCATAGTATAATAAGGTATAAAAAGTCATATTTTACTAAGGAATAAAAACGTCATAAATCGTCATAGTATAGTAAGGCATAAAAAGTAATATTGTACTAAGGCAAAATAAACGACATAAAACGTCATAGTATAGTAAGGCAAAAAAAGTCACAGTATAGTAAGGCAAAAAAAGTCATAGTATAGTAAGGCATAAAAAGTCATAGTAAGGTAAGGCATAAAAACGCCATAAACCTCATAGTATAGTCAGGCATTAAACGTCATAGTATAGTAAGGAAAAAAAAAGTCATAGTATAGTAAGGCAAAAAAAGTCATATTATAATAAGACAAAAAAAGTCATAGTATAGTAAGGCATAAAACGTCATAGTATAAAAATCATGGTATAATAAGGCAAACGTCATATTATAGTAAGTCATAAAAAGTCATATTATACTACGGAATAAAAACGTCATAAAACATCATAGTATACTAAAGCAAAAAAACACCACAAAAAGTCATAGTATAGCAAGGCATAAAAAGTCATATTAAAGTAAGGAAAAAAACGTCATATTATAATAAGACAAAAAAGTCATAATATAGTAAGGCATAAAAAGTCATAGTATAGTAAGGCAAAAAAAGTCATAGTATAGTAAGGCATAAAAAGTCATAGTATAGTAAGGCAAAAAAAGTCATAGTATAGTTAGGTATAAAAAGTCATAGTACAGTAAGGAATAAAAACGCCATAAAACCTCATACTATAGTCAGGCATAAAACGTCATAGTATAGTAAGGCATAAAAAGTCATATTATAGTCAGGTAAAAAAAGTCATAGTATAGTAAGGCATAAAAAGTCATATTAAACTAAGGAATAAAAACGTCATAAAAAGTCATAGTATAGTAAGGCATAAAAAGTCATAGTATAGTAAGGCAAAAAAAGTTATATTATATTAAGGCAAAAAAAGTCATAGTATAGTAAGGCAAAAAAAGTCATAGTAAGGCACAAAAAGTCAAAGTATAGTAAGTCATAAAAAGTCATATTATACTAAGGAATAAAAACGTCATAAAACATCATAGTATACTAAAGGAAAAAAACGCCACAAAAAGTCATAGTATAGTAAGGCATGAAAAGTCATATTAAAGTAAGGAAAAAAACGTCATATTATAATAAGACAAAAAAGTCATAGTATAATAAGGCAAAAAAAGTCATAGTATAGTAAGGCATAAAGCGTCATAGTATAGTAAGGCAAAAAAAGTCATAGTATAGTTAGGCATAAAAAGTCATAGTATAGTAAGGCATAAAAACGCCATAAAACCTCATAGTATAGTCAGGCATAAAACGTCATAAAAGTCATAGTATAATAAGGCAAAAAAAATCATGGTATAATAAGGCATAAAAACGTCATAGTATAGTAAGGCAAAAAAAGTCATAGTATAGTCAGGCATAAAACGTCATAGTATAGAAATGCATAAAACGTCATAAAAGTCATAGTATAATAAGGCAAAAAAAATCATGGTATAATAAGGCATAAAAACGTCATAGTATATTAAGGCATAAAAACAACATAAAACGTTATAGTATAACAAGGTATGAAAACGTCTTAGAATCAAAAGTTAATTGCTAATGTATGGTTATTTTATTACACATACAATTAATACTTTTATTATCACTGGAGCTAATTCAAGGGGCAGATCTGGACATGTGCACATCATATGGCTCACACACATAAATAACTACAGGGTAATTGAACATTTAATCAAATCTATGGATTATGGGAGGAAGGTAGAACTGGAAGAAATCCACACAAGAGGGGAAGACCTGGCTGTCCTGAAGGCAGTTTTGAACCCACACGCTTCTGGCCGTGAGGCATCATTACTGACCACTACATCATCTAGATGGAAAGACAAGGAGTATGGGTAAAATATCTTAGTGTAGTAAGTCAAATAATGTGACAAGGTTGAGTAAATCATAAACATGTCATAGTATAGTAAGGGAAAAAAAGGTCATACTATAGTAATGTGTAAAAATATCATAGTATAATAATAAAGTATAAAAGATCAGTGTATGATAAGGTATGAAAAGTCATATAAAAATATCCAAGTATAGTAATGCATAAAAAAACCTTGAATGTGGTGTAATTAATACAGAACACACACTTAATTTTTTTTTTTTATTTACAACCAACCAAATATTTTCACTTTTTTATTTAAACTGGAATCGCTTTACATTTTGTCCATCAATAAGGCTTTAATTTTGAAAGTCTGTGGCGGATGTGACGTAAGTTGGGTCATTTTTTCTTGTGTTTCATCTGTCGGGACGCGTCTTGAACCCCTTCCCTCACGTCCTCCAGCAGGGAGTCTCGGATCCTCCGGGCTTTCCCGCTCAGCTCCCCCACTCCTCCACTCGGAGCCTCCGCTGCCTCCTGTCGGATCTGCCGGAGCGTCCGGGACCGCAGTGCCCGCCCTGTGGCGTCTCTGCCGGCCTGCTGAGCCCTGAGCACGGCCTGGGCGGTGAGCCGCGCCGCGCTGCGGACCGGGAAAGACTCGGACAGTTTCTCTACGACCTGGGCCTTGTTCAGCAGAACCGAGACGAGATACCTGAGCACCATGGTGACGTCACCTCACACCTGATTGGAGACGAGAAAGTCACCGAAAAATACCGACAACAACACAATAAAGCGCATCAGTGTCCGACTCACCTGCCGTGTCAAATCAGAGACACGCTTCCGATGCTGCCCTTCAAAATAAAAACCACCACCAATAATTTTCAATAACATTAAAAAACCCAAAACAATCACCTGAAATGCACTTAATTAATTATGTATATACTTAATTTACCCTGATCTAAAACGGGATTTTTTAAATTTGTTAATAAATGAAAACTCTTTCAGATTCAAGAGGAACATGATTTAATTCAATTTAATTCAATGATTTGACATGTTTAGTTTAAGGTGTTAAAATAATAATGTTTTCAATGATTCTTATTATAGTCCATTAAAAATACTAATACCAATTATCCCCTTAAAATCTAGTGTAAAGTCAGTTACTTGTTGTTTGTGCCTGTAGCTTGATGTATGACAATCCATCATATTATTCAGACTCATCAAAACCTGAACCAGAAAACTGTAGCTGTCAGATTCGTGTAGTGGAGTAAAAAGTACAATATTGTTAAATGTCATACTGATGGAAGTAGAGAGTGGAAATATTCAAACCTTCAGTAAATCACATTTCACCAACAGCAAATTAAGCGGATTCTTATTCTGAAGTTAAAACTTGTTATGAACCAGAAAAGACAAGCAGTAACAGTAAAAACTATGATCCAGTTAATCAATTATCTAATTACTGGCAGATTTGTCATCAGATAATAAACTGGCTTAAACCTTGGACATGAATCTGTCCTCACATGTGAACTCCTCATCTGGTCGTAGTTGGTACAAACTTAGAGGTCCTTGTCCATCCAATCCATAATTGTTCACACACACATCCTGACCCTTCTTCTCTCTTCCTGTAAAGTTCATGTTCACTCTGTGACTGTACGTTGATCCTTGGCAAAGACAACTTCATCATTTGTCAACTCTTCATTTTCAGATTTCCAGCACAAACCACGACCAGGTTAAAACCATGTTATCAGTCTAATGTGATAAATGAAAATATAATTCCTTAATTAATCCCTAATTTACCCCAGAAAACACCTTAATCTAAATCAGTACATTTGATAGTCACATGTCCTTAATTTGTCCTTTAACTTGAAAAACCAAGCCCTTTAAAAATACCTTAATTTTGAAAATTTTAAGGGGATTATTTCCACAATTTAAGGGAAATGTCATTTAATGTAAACGGCTTAATTAGTTATTAAAAGTTATGAAGTTATTTAAGTTATTAAATCACTCATGACATTTTAAAGGATTAGATTTATTCTACTAATGAATGAATAAATTAATAGATTCTAATACAAAAACTGGATATATCTGCCATTAATTAGACAATTGATTAACTGGCTGATCGTTCCAGCGCAGAGACTACATCACCTCCCAGGATCATCGGACACATGTTGTTGTTGTTGTTGTTGTTGCTGAGACTTATTGATTGAAAACTTGATAAAAACTAATAATCAAACTGAAAATGTTCTTCAGTTTCAAATGTCTGAGAATTTTTATTTAGTAAAAGTAGAAATACCAGAGTAAAAATAGTATCATCCGAAGATCCAATTAATTCATGACAAGTAAACGTTCCTCCTGTGACTGAAAATATATAATTCTATTATCAGATCATTGATCCCGAGTCATCGATGCTTCAGCAGCTTCTTACTGTTTGAACTAATTTATAAACAGTTTGTTTAGATTATATCTTTAAATTGATTTTACTAACAAAGATAAACTTGACATATAAATGAATTATCTGGGAACTCCAGCTGTCACGTCAATATAGTGAAGGAACAGAAAATGAAAATAAATTCACGAACCTCAAAACTTTGTTCCCAAAAACCTTTAAATCTCCTTCTCTTTAGTAGTCAAAGGTAAACAGTGAATCAGTTTCCATGGAGACGACAGACCTTAGACTTTCAAGCAGATTTTATTCTCAACATGGGACAGCAGACAGGTGTGACCTTTGACCCTGATCATACAGGTGTCTGTTCAGTAGATCAGCAACAGGACGAGGGCATGGAGGAATAAATTAAAACCCAAAACAACTCGTCAGGTAAAAAAAAAAAAAACAATTGAAGGCTTCAGTCTAAAAATGAAGAAAGGAAACTTCAGCTTCGGCCTCGACGACAGAAACAAATAAAAACCATAAAAAAGTCAGTTAGAAAAACTCGAGTGCGTTTTAGTTTCTGTTTTGGTTTGTTTCTTCCTCACTGTGCTTCTGTGATGCCACACACACACACACACACACACACACACACACACACACACACACACTGTACACTGAACAGATCAAACCTTCAGTATTTACACTCATATTTATAGATTTATAGATTTTGTATTTTCTCTCTCTGATCGATCGTCCGCAGAGCTGCAGTTGATGGAGGCGAGGTGGGCGGAGTCGGAGGCTTTAGACCCGCACCACCAGCACCACCTTGGTGTGCTGGTCGACCAATCAGCAGCTGCTGTTCTTGAACTCTCCGTTCTCAGTGATGGACAGTTTGGTGGGGTTGCTGGGCGACAGGCCGTTGCAGAGGTTGGGCGCGCTGTAACGCTCCTTCACCTGCGTCAGCGCCGCCATCAGCCGCGAGTTCGCCGCGTCCAGGGAGCCGATCCGCTTCTCCTAATTGGATAGAGACAAGAGGGGGGCGGGACAGGAAGTCAGACTGACAGGTATGAGAAGAAGGAGGGTTTGTGACGATCTGACTGCCGGGTTAAAACCACGTTATCAGTCTAATGTGATCAATGAAAATATAATCCCTTAATTAATCCCTGATTTACCCCAGAAAACACATTAATCTAAATCAGTGCATGTGGTAGTCACATGTCCTTAATTTGGCCTTTAATTTGAAAAACTCGAAGGTTTTAAGGGGTAAAATTGACTTTGATTAAAATGAAAATCACTTATTCTTTAATTTACAATGTAATTACTGTAGATTATTCATTAATTATGTCATTAAAGATAAAGGATTTAAGTTAAGGGGTTTTGGTTTACATTACAACTGTGACACTAATTAATGCTGCTTATTAATTAAATTAAAGGTTTTAAGGGTTAAGTTTTATTTAATGGATAAATTAATAGATTCTAATACATTAAGGGGTAAAAAAAAAAACCCTTAAAATTAACACAGTAACAGCTCCAGAAAGGAGTTTCTTAATTTCATGAATGTGATCATTTATCATTTAAGGGGTTTTGAACAGATTATTCCACAATTTAAGGGATCTTTACGTGTAGAAACATCCCTGTAATGTTATCTTAATATAAAGGGCTTGATTTTCAATTTAAATGATCAATTATTCATGACATTTTTAAAGGGAAATTAACCACTTAAACTGTGCAAAAATACTGCTACTAATTAAAAAAATAAATTTTTTGTTTATAAATTGTTCAAAGCAAAAGCTTCTAAGAATTAACGGGGCCTTTAATTTGAAAAACAAACCCCGTTTACAAAACTTTCCCCTTAATTTGAAATATTTGCAGCTGCAGATTAATGAGACACTTAAGGATTCAGGTTTATTCTACTAAATAAATAGATTTTAAAACATTAAAGGGTTAAAAAAAACAACCTAAATTACAAAATAATATAACGAATACAATGAAGGCTCCTTGATTTCTTTTAAAATATTAAAACCGATGTTACATCATTTATCATTATTTGAAGGTGGTTTTGACCCGGCAGCAGAAAACAGAGAGAAACGTCCACAGGAAGTTTGAGGGCAGCAGCCGAAAATATAAACAGCCCAAAAAGCTAAAAACCAACAAAATAAAAAAGAAAGAGTGAGACTGAAGCTGCTGAGTGCCGCACGTTGTCAGCAGGAAGTCAAACTCTGATCTGGAGTCAGCATGAAAACACCTGCTCAGAAACACCTGAGTGAAGCCGAGCGCTCCGACGTCGTCTGCTCTCACAGGCTGATCTAAACCTTCTGTCACCACATTTTATTTTGAAAGAGAGGAAGCTCTGGTGGTTCAGAGGAGGGCAGAGGGGGGGTGAGGGCGGGGGGGGGAGCAGCCAAACAGAAATAAAAACCAGCTCAGAGCGCAACACAGCGACACACCAGCAGCCGGTCCTCTGTAAAGACTCTGGGTCCTAACGACCGCCATGTTTTCACCTGATACTCAAAGTTTGTTTATAAACACAGAGCGATGATGAACTTGCTCTTAAAGGGACAGTTACACATTTTGGAAGTTCAGATCTGTGTGTGTGCTCAACTGGAGTCAGGATTAGCTTAGCATGTTAACTTATTTGTACTTCCTGGTGTTGACGACATGACAAACACACACACTGTTGTTCTAGTGTGGCTTCACTGATCCAGATGATGTTAACCAGCTAAAATTATCCTTTACTCTGAAAGGTAACTTCCTCTGCAGCTGCTGAGCCACTTAAACATTAAATCTGCTCTGTGATTGGCTGACCAGGTGTGAGGTGTGTTAGCCCTCGTTGTTCTTCTAAAAACAGCGTGGTGGGAGGAGTTGGGGAGGTGGTGGAGGAGGGGGCGGGGCCACAGTTACTTGCCTGATTGGTTTATTTCACATCCATTACTGACCTGAAATCAGTGAAGAGACGGTGAGAGGCTGCTGGTTCTCACCGACGACCTCGTTAAAAAAAGGTTTCAAACTTTCACCTGTGACAGCGGTTGGCGGAGCTTAGCGCCCTGCTACTTATCTTAATGATTATTAATAATTATCATTTTCTCACTGCAGAGGACAAAAGGCAGTTCTGTGGGAGAATCTCCACTCTGCTACAGGTGTATTTACAGGTGTAATTATAGGTGTTTGTACAGGTGTATGTACATGTGTAATTATAGGTGTATGTACAGGTGTATGTACAGGTGTAATTATAGGTCTAGGTACAGGTGTATGTACAGGTACATGTGTAATTATAGGTGTATGTACAGGTGTATGCTCAGTAGTATTTATAGGTATATGTACAGGTGTAGGTACAGGTGTATTTACAGGTGTAATTATAGGTGTACTGTGTAGGTACAGGTGTACTTACAGGTACATGTGTAATTATAGGTGTATGTACAGGTGTCGGTACAGGTGTATTTATAGGTATATGTACAGGTGTATGTAAAGGTGT